GCAACTTTCTGTTGGGGTGCACTGAGGTTTCAACAGCATCCAGCATGTATCTAAGAATCCACCATCATCTTCTTAGTAATCATCTAGGAACTCAAGTTCATGTAGTCATGCGGGAATGGGGATGTGGCCTGGGAACTGTCTCCAGGGCCAGGTAGAGAGGCCTAGAGGGCCACATCTGGCCCCCAGTGCTGAGGTTTCTCACTTTTATTCTCCAGCAAGTTAGCTGGAAGCTTAAGAATAGGTATAGTCATTCATACTACTGACACTGGCAGACTCCCACCATGTTTGGAGTCTCATTCAAATTGTGTACACACACACACAGACACACATTTTATGCCTGCGGTGCCTCATATCACAGATATCAAGATTTGGTATGGAGGATGCCTTGCAAAAGGAGAAGCACAGATTCCATGCATTCCTAAGTGGCACCTTGCAATTCCATTGGATGAAACAATTCTCAGAACTTGGCAGTGCCCTCTGGCCCCAGCTCCAAATGCTGGACCCAAAACATGAATGCAGAATCCCTTCGTTATTATTTTTTTGCTTGTTGTTGCAAGAGGAACAGTAAAACAGTCAAGCCAAACACAGAAAACAGTGCCATGATTTATGTTAACTTTCATCGTACTTCAAAACTCGGAGAAATGTATTATCTTCATCATTGCCTTTTATCTGAGCCCTAGCGTGGGGGAAATTACCTTCTGCTGTCACCCTTATAAAATACTCTCGGGATCTTTATCATCCAGAGATGCTCAGCATAACAACTGCAGAGGAGCTGGGTTCTCATAAATGCTGCCTGCATCCCTTGAGGATTCTTACACTGCAGGCACCTACGAAGGAGCAAAGTAAAGACATGATTGCATTGGTTGTTTCACTAGAGAAACTTCAAGGGACTAAACCTGCCTAGGTTGGCTGCAGTCAGTGGGCAGCAGGTAGAGAAACCAAGAGTGGATTCACACTTTCCATGTTCTCACATTCTTAGGGCCAATTTTACAGAGGAAGTAGAATCCCTTGGGGGATCACGTTCAGCCTGAGGGCCACATTCCCTTCTGGATAACTTTTCAGGGGCCGCCATCCAGTGGTAGGCAGGGCCAGAGGCAAAACTGAATGAAGAAATTGACGTTAGTTGTACTTCTGTACAGTAGATTCCATTCTAGCCAATGCAAGTCAGGGCTGTCTACATACACAAACATACACACACCCCTCCATCCAGGAAAGCGGGGGAGATAGTCACAGTTCAATGACACATTCTAACCAGACAAAAACACCCAAGGAGGGTGAGGACCAGGATCAGGGAGGAAACATGGTACTAGGAGAGTCTCAAGGGCCAGGTAAACAAACCTGGAGGGCCACATCCACCTACTTAGGCTCAAATTTCCCCATCACTACTGCAGAGGAAACAGATCTAGGGGTGAGGTGAAATGTCCCACTTATACTTGCTGCTCTCATTTGGGAGGGGGAGATGAGGAGGGCATCTTGATGGTCTTTGTGGTCTCAAGTGGGTGTGTACTTGGGAAATGTGAAGCTCACTGGCATTGGTGCAGTAGAGGCTGGTTCATTGGGGCTTGTGGGGCAGTCTACCCTCAGCCAGCCCCCACCTGCCTGGCTTTATATATATATATATATATATATATATATATATGCACTGTCCAGAGCATGGCCCTGCCTGTCACCTTCCTCCTTCTCAGTCTTGGTGTTGCCCTCATAAAACTCAGCAGAGAGGAGGATGAGGACAAAAGTCAAATTAGTTGCACCTGTGTTTCCTTGCCTCTGGCTCCACATGCTGTTTGGGCTCCCTGCCTTTGTCCTACCTGTCCCATTTGGTGGAAATGCCGGATTGCTGGAAGTGCTCTTTCCCAGTGGCCATCATTTCCCCCTCCAAGCAGTACTGTCTCATGTCCCAGGAAGGTCCCTGGGGGAGATTCCCCTCATATGCTGCAGGTGGGCTTCCTAGAGCTATCTGGTCGGCCACTGGGGTAAACCAGGATGCTGAGATTCTTAGGTCTTTGGTCTGACCCAGCAGGGCTCTTCTGATGTTTTTATTACTAGTCCTGAGGGCATCGCAGCAGAAATGGATTGTTGCCTCCATGTCCTCCTACTTGCAGGTTTCCTATAAGCAGGTGGTTGCAATATAGAATGCTGGACTAGATGGGCCTTTGGCCTGATCCAACAGGACTCCTCTTTCTGCTCCTAACCAAGTGTGTTTTTACACACGGTTGAGAATTCCTGGCATGAACAAAGGTTCTCCCAAATCATTTTTTTGTTTAGAAGCTGGAGTAGTGTTTTCCCCCATGCCCCTCTCTAGCATTGGCTGGAATGTTTCGGAGTGTAGGTTTTACTGCTTTGAGGACCGTTCTGCTCTGCAGTGCATAGAGTAAACCTCTGGCAGTTCTCATTGTGTACAGAGCCATCCTCTGAGTTGTGTTCTGCATGCAGCTGTCAGTCAGCCAAAGACACTCAACAGAATAGCCTTCACCCACTTGGTGCCCTTCAGATGTTTTTGACTACAGTCACCATCGCAGATGATGGGAATGGTAATCCAACAACATCTGGGGAACCCAAGGTGGCAGAACAATGATCTATAGCAGGGATCACCAACCTGGAAGCTGTGGGTGCCATGGAAGCCTTTTTTGGCTTCCTGAGGATAAAACCTAGGCTCCAGATTCCCAGTTTTCTTTTCTTTCTTTCTTTCTTTCTTTCTTTCTTTCTTTCTTTCTAAGAAGGAGGGTTCTACATTTTTAAAAACCTGAGTTATGAAGCAAGATGTACAGACACCATTCTCACTTTCTGTGAGAAATTAGCCTGTGCCTTCCTTTTGATATTCCACCCCAACCCCCTTGGGGGAAAAACCTGGGGAAAATTCTTCATATACAGTAAGTGAGAGAGGGAGAGATCTACATGTGGACAGAATGGGAGGGAGGGAGAGGTGTGTGTGAGAGAGAGAGAGACAGACAGACAGAGAGAGAGAGAGTTGGGGATATGTGTGAAAGTGTGGTGTGTGTAAGTGAGGGAGAGATGCAGTTCTGCAGAGAGTGAGAGATGCATATCTGAAGTGTGGGTTGTTTCTGTTGCTTGTGGTCTGTATGTTTGCAGTGAGTGTGTGAATGTGCACGAGAGACTGAGTGTGGGGTGGCCACCCAACTTTGTACATATATTTTCCTGGTACTAGAAATGTTCCTTGTTATTAGACAGAAACAGCATCATCAATACTGTGTGATTTCCACGGTCAGAACCAGTAGGACACATCTGACCTCCCATAGTAAGCATAAGGTCGTCTGAGTGGCAGGGAAGACAACAGCAATGACTATACATTCTCCAATTTTGTGTTGTGCCACACCCCTAGGGCAGCCATGTTGGTTTATGCTATGCCCCACCATGGCAACTATTGTGTATGCCATGCCCCATGGCAGTCATTTTGTGATGTGTACCCAACAGCGCTTTTTCAAAATTCAGCATGTGCTCACTGGTCCAAAAAATGTCATACTGTCATCTTGACACCTTCTGGAAACATCAGTGCCTTTGTTTCAAGGCACCCAGAGGAATTATGGGAGAAGCAATGAGTATGTGTGTGTGTGTGTGTGTGGGCGCGCATGTGTGTTTATGTGACTGTGTGTGTGTGTGTGAGGAGGGCTGTTTTTCCAGCTTCCTCAACAACTTTGAAATCTGACACTGTGAGGAGGGATATACAAATGAGATATACACTGTGAGGAGTGGATATACAAATGGCTGCTTAGCATTCCATTCCGTTACACTTTGCATTATACCATTCATGCTACCCACAAGACTTCCATCAGTCATCGTTTTCACAATGCTCCTTTAAAAATATATACCTGAAAGTGCTGATTTCATTAAACAATGGCTGCACGACAGGTGGATAAGGTATAATTTAGTGAGATTACCAGGGCTGGGTTTGAGCTGCTTATCATATTTAAAGCAATGAGCAATGTCAAAACAGATGAGAGATGATGTGTTGGCAAAGTGACGCCATCCTTCCGTTGAGAGCTAGAGAACAACTCCCACACCATGATCCCAACGAAAATGTAGTTCCTTTAATAATGGGTGGGAGTGGATAACGCTATTAATCTTTCATCATAATTGATTAATGGGTTAGAATGCCACCATGGACACACAAAGGATTGCTACCATTGGCACAAAATGATTGAAATTTAAAATAAAAAAACTTCTCCATTATCGTTTCTTACTTAATAATTGTGAATAATTGCTACCATGTTTGATTTTTATCAATCTGCAGAACGTCAAGGCTAGACTGCTGTATCGTCATGATAGCATCAGGTCATTATGCTTTACAGTTTGTTTGTTTCCCATTACATTCCTGCCTGTGGCTCTCTGGCATTTCATGCAGAAGACATTTTGAGTCCCACCTGGAGATGCTGGGGATTGAACCTGGGACCTTTTGCATGCACACCAGATGCGCTACCATGGAGCTATATAGCTCTTCTTTAAGTGTCCTTACATAAGAACCTTAGTGATGTATGGAAGTGAAAGCTGGACCACAAAGAAGGCTGATCGCCAAAGAATTGATGCTTTTGAATTATGGTGCTGGAGGAGACTCTTGAGAGTCCCATGGACTGCAAGAAGATCAAACCTCTTCATTCTTAAGGAAATCAGCCCTGAGTGCTCACTGGAAGGACAGATCGTGAAGCTGAGGCTCCAGTACTTTGGCCACCTCATGAGAAGAGAAGACTCCCTGGAAAAGACCCTGATGTTGGGAAAGATGGAGGGCAGAAGGAGAAGGGGACGACAGAGGACGAGATGGTGGGACAGTGTTCTCGAAGCTACCAGCATGAGTTTGACCAAACTACGGGAGGCAGTGGAAGACAGAAGTGCCTAGCGTGCTCTGGTCCATAGGGTCACGAAGAGTCGGACACGACTAAACAACTAAACAACAACAGCATACGACCATAGGAATCTGCCATTGGCCCAACAAGCTTAGTAATTTCTCCATTGACCAGGAGAGGCTCTGCATAGCAGTGGTCTTTCCCTGGCCCTACCAGGGGTTGAACCTGGGACCTTTTGCATGCAGAGCAGATGCTCTCCCACTGAACCACCTCTTTAAGCAGCCACAACCATGTGGACAGACTAACTTAGCTCCTCCTCTGCTAATTCTTATAATTTTCAGCAATTAGACATCATTATGATATTAAGCACTGCCTGACAACCACTAACGTTTTACAGCAAATCGTAGCAGTTAATGTGTTGGCGGGAGAGGGAGGAGTGGGGAATCATGTTGCGTTCCACCTCAGCCAGCAGCTTTGATCACGTTTGATGATGTTTATTTCCCCTAAAAGGTGTTCCAATGACGAAGTCACTATCTATCCATTCTCTGGAATGGAACTGACCAGGGGAAGCTTGTGGGTGGGCCAGTTAGCCTATTAGCATGCATAAATAAATAAATAAACTGAATTGGGGGAGGGGAGAACTATACTAATGAAGTCAGCAAAGGCAAAGAAGATGAGAGGGAGAGGGAGGCACATGGGAAGTAATGATGTTAATCGTATTAAACTTCTCAAAAGTGGTGGAAAGCAGTGCCTATTCCCCACAGCACTGCATCTAAAGCAAGATGGACCACTACTAATTGCTGTTTAATCACTGTGTTATCGTAATTATAGCATGCGCTTTGTGCGCTCCACAGTTTATTACCCTGTGGCTGGCAAAAAATGTAGTGCCGGCATATAATTTGTTGCAGCAAAGTTAATTTGTGTCACTCTCACTGGGAGATACCTTTTATGTGTGGAGGCAAACATTCACTTTCTCTCCCCACAAACCCCACCCACCCTACTCTGGCTATTTGTACAGACTACCCTACCCCACATCGACCAAGAAATTTCAGCTTCCTTGTGTAGGTAACATCCAAATGTGGTTATGCATGAGCAAGACCAGAGTTATATCCTTATGGAGCATTTGTTAGGGTCTGGCCCAAGGAGCCCCAGCACTCAGTGCAACATGCACCATTCCTTGCAGGTTGTTGTTATATTGTTATTGTTACATGCAGGCCCCACTATCTGAACAGGAAATCATTTGTTAGGTCAGTGTTCGCATTACAAGTTGACAATTTACTATGGGGAAATTTCTAATGCGTCCCCGACCATGGAATTTTGACCTGCAAATGACAAAGTAACCTTGGGAAACCCCTCTGAAACCTTGCAAAAGGCAAACAAGGAAAGGGGAAATGCTCTCTTATTTGCCCCTCTCACCTACCAACCAAGGTTACAGGTGGGACATCTGTTGTGGACCAGCAAAGCACGGAAAAGTAAAGTTCATTTAAGGTTGCTTATTTGCTTACAATATCACACGCAGGTCCGGCTGCTTGGAAAACTGAATCTGCAGTGTGAGTAGCGATGTTAGGGCACCAATTCCTCGGTTTGGTTAAGTCAATTTTTGTATAGCAAGCATTTGAGTAGCAGTACCTGTGTGTATTGGGACGTGGGTGGCGCTGTGGGGTGAACCACAGAGCCTAGGACTTGCCAATCAGAAGGTCAGAGGTTCGAATCTCCACGACAGGGTGAGCTCCCATTGCTCGGTCCCTGCTCCTGCCAACCTAGCAGTTTGAAAGCACGTCAAAGTGAAAGTAGATAAATAGGTACCGCTCCGGCGGGAAGGTAAACGGTGTTTCCGTGTGCTGCTCTTGTTTACCAGAAGTGGCTTAGTCATGCTGGCCACATGACCCGGAAGCTGTACGCCGGCTCCCTCAGCCAATAAAGCGAGATAAGTGCCACAACCCCAGAGTTGGTCACGACTGGACCTAATGGTCAGGGGTCCCTTTACCTTTACCTCACCTGTGTGTATTATTACAGTATTTATTTCCCCTGCACTATGACTCAACAGAGTTCACAAAAATGAAAATAAACATGGATAAGTAGAGAAAGCTAAACACATATGAAAGACAACAGGTAAAAAGTAATTAAACTATAATAGAATTAAAATGATATTGGTTTTGCCCATCTTCGTTCAGTGCTCTTAAATCCTCTTGCCATGGAGCCTAGGCATACTCACAATTACCAGAGCAGAGGCGGGGAATCTCAAGTTCAGGGGCTGAAGGCAGTCTGGGGGGAGGGGGGTGGCCTGCTGTGCTGGGTTGCACAACAAGCAGACTAAGTGCATGCTTGGGGCACCCCCAAAGTGGGGTCACCAAAAAATGTGTGTTTGTGTGTTTGGAAAGAATTTGCATCCATGGAATCTTCATGAGAATACCAGAACTTTATTAGACTTCCTTACACCCCAGTCCCCAATCTTCCCCCGTTTTCCTACTAACATAGACAGAAAGGAATTGCATCACATTTCACTTTAAATTTGTATACTGCCTTTTCTATATGCACAAGGCGGTTTACAAGCTGAAGAAACAACAAAACAGACAGCAAAGATCACACACCTAATAACAATCTGATCCTATACAGAAAAGTCATAATAAAATACATAAATTTAAAATAAACAACTTATATCAAACAATGCAGGGAGATCAGATCCTGTCAAGTGTTGCAATAAACCTATGTTTTGTTTTGTTAGTTTTAAAATGTTATTCTACAGTTTTGCATTGTTTTATTGTGAATTACTGGGGGGGGGACTGTAACCATTTCAGTGTTTGTGGCCTCTAAATTTGGCCCTGCAGGCCTGGTTGATGGGTGTGGCTCAAGGCAAAATAAGGAAATATATTTGGCGAATATATTTGGAGTTTGGAGCAGGGCCAGTGAGCAGCTGGAGGGGCATATCGGACTCTGGGACAAAGGCTACTCATTGATGCCACGCACAAATCCCATTGAGCACAGAAGATCTTGGGCTCTCTCCAAGTAATTGCTACTCAGAGTAGACCCTCTGAGATCAAGGAACTTAAGTTCCATGTCCACTGATTTCAGTGCGTCTACTCTGAGCAGGGCTTAGTGTACAAAAACCCCTTGCTTCTGTGCCTTACAGCACTGAAGAGATTAAAGTGGAGATATGTTCAGCCTCCCTGCACTGATATTCCTGGTCCCTATTTTAAATGATACAACAGATAGTGGGAAAGAGCCCTCCATTGCAATGGGTCTCCTAGAGATGTCAGCGGAGCCTCCTCGCCTGACAAGTGGCATGTGAGCGCTATCTATATTTATAGCCAACATTAATGCCACCATGTTTTGAAGAGACGGCTAGAATTTAGGCTGTCAGCAGAAGCCTTGCCGCCCCTCTTGTGATGTGATGAATCAAAAGGAACTCGGTCTCAGCTTGACAGGAGAATCTCCTTAATGGAGACAGAGGAGGGAGAGGGTGAGGAAAGCAAGAAAAAGCAGAGGAGGACCTATCTAGGATGCTTTCCGGGCAGATATAATAGTACTAGCCTTCAGCTTCCTTGTCTCTAAAGCGCAAAAGGATGTGCCCTGCTCTGGCCTGTCCCTTATTGCGTGGACAGGCGGAGTCCCCAGATCCCGAGCGGTCCCCCCCCCCGTCATGTGGAATAACGACTCATGACAATGTGCTATGGGATTAAATTGGCCACAACTTTATTAAATTTCAAATGTGGGTAGACCTTGGCTCAGGCATTGGGCGTTCTCCCTCCCCAGTCCCCAGCCAGGGACCTAGGGAGCATCAGGGTTATCCACTGTGGGGGGGGGGATGGGCCGGCTCTGGAGAACATATGTTCAAGCAGAGATAGCCGCCCCCGTTACGCCGCCGCCGCAGGGGAGAGCAATGACAACCTCTTGGCGTACGGTCAAAGCCTCCCTTCAGAAACCCCTTTAACGGGGAACCCTGGTATTGCCGCCGCAAAGAGGAAGATGGACTAAAGGATTCCGCCCAAGGCCTGATACCGCCAAAGTTGTGACGTTTTGCTACGGGAAAGGCGAAACCTGCCAATGCAGGGAAATTCCTTTCCGGCCCTTTAACAGCGACCTTAACGTAGCAGCGCCCGCATACCTGTGAAGAAAAGTTAACCTGCAAAACCTGTGAAGAAAAGTTAACCTGCAAAGAAGACATTAACTGAGGGTGGGTAGGGTTGGAGAAGCTCTGGAGCCAAGTGAGGATTCCCAGGTAAGATCCTCCCTCTATTGTGTGGGCAGGTAATCCCTCCCCTACCTGGCCTGGTCTCCTTGGCAATGCTTCCCCCAGGTGGGATTGGACAACTGACTGAGGTAGGCGGAGACCTCCAGGTATCAAACCTGAGGGAAGGCGAAGCCAATCCTATGCTGATGGAGCCGCTCCAGATCTAGGGGCTGCGCGCGTCCATGCAAAGGGCGCCCCCCGTTTTAAGCGGGGAGCGGTCATTTCTTTTCAAAGGATGTGCGAAGATGCAGAGTGGACGAAGAAAAAACTTTCTGCCCGCAGCTGCTGCTTCCTATTAATCCATGGCAGGACTGGCCCTGATTACCCTCAGCTGTCGTTTTATGGAGTGGTTTATTGCCTTCCCTCTATATTTAAGGGGAGACAAATGGGACCTGCAATAAGATGGAGTTGTAAGGGTTCTAGCCAGCCAGCCATGCCCTTTCCAGGATACTCCATTCCATTCTATTTCCCCTCTCATTTCCTGATTTATTCCCCACTGTGCCCAACAGTCATCCAGCATTCCACGACCAGTGACCATTCTCATTCCTCACTGGACTTTTTTTTGGGGGGGGGGTGTCCTCCCTATAAAAAAAAAACCAAAAGACTTTTGCAGCCACAAGCTTTCCCCCAAGCTTGCTTAGTATGACGCCTTCCTCTTTTGCACAAGTGGTGCCATGTAAACTGTGCAGTCTTAGACGGCGTTTGCTGTTAATATACTGGATTGGAAATGAGGGGAGGAAATCAGAGTTTGTGGAAGAAAACTGAGCATGGAGAACATTCTCTTGTAGTCCTGCCCTTTTAGGTCAGTTTCCACAATTTTTGTTGGACTACAAGACCACTAGCCACAGGCAGCATGGCCAATAGCTGGGGGTTGTGAGAGTTGTGGTCCTGGAACACCTGGCAGCTCAGAGTTTGGGAAATCTCCTTTAGGGCATGTGTAACCCACTGCTATATTGTGCTTTAACAAGGTTGGACATGCTCAGCGGAAGAACTGGGTCAGGGAGCAGCCACCATTATGGGCAACCAGCTTATATTACCACAGAACAGCTGGGG